TTGTTGTTCCTTGAAGTTTATTAAAAACATTATTTTTAAGCTCTCTATTAAATATTGGTAATCTCAAAAAACACATTTCACACAAATTGAGGAGCAAAAGCCGTTAGAAACCCTAAAGTTGAGCAACTAATTAATCAAATTTAGTTTTTTTCTTTTATACATGACTAAGAATATATCAAAAACTATCTTAATTTTTTTTATTGAATCATTCATTTCTTTAGAATAATAATTGAAATGATTGTTCTTGAGGAGTTGGTAAAGAGTGATTTCTAATGCACCATAAAAAAAAATTCTTGAAAATAAAAATAAAAAGACGCTTTAATTTCTCTCTCACACATATCGCATGTAAATAGAAAGAACATATAGAGAGCGTGCAAACGACAGAAGACTTGAATATTTGACATACAATGATAGATCTGATAAATAAATCGACTCACTAAGCATATGTTATATCAATTATTCTATGATAAGTAATTCTCCCATTCTAATTATTGGACATCAATTTATTGAACAACTTTATGCCAAAAAAAACTAAGAACACTATTACCTTATTGTGTGGTGAGAGATGCATTAATTATATAATATTATTAAAAAAATACAACTAACAAAGGAAAATTNTTTTTTTTAATTTACATTTTGAAAATTAGCTTTTGACCAAAAACACCTTTGATATACAAATATGTGTGAAATTATAAATACTAAGTCTAGATTAAATATCTAAAAAAAAGTTGATGTAAAATATTCATCGCGGCTGTTAGAGAGTGTTTTGAAAAAAAATACTTTGTAATAAGAAAAAATAAGAGTAATATTTTTAATATGATCTTTGGAATAGCAAAATAACTAATTAAAAATACTTTGTTCAAAAAAAAAATAATTAAAAATACTATTCAAATTTGTCACGATATTTGGTTACATTTGGTTACATGATTAAAAAGGTTGTTTTTAGAAATAAAGAAAACATACTAATAGATTAAAAGATTAGACGAAAGCAAATGAGGATTGATTTGATATAAATAAGGACCCATTATTTAAAATTAGACAATATATATATATATATATATACACATTATTTTTATTAGGATCAAGTTTTTTTGTTTTTTTGCTTTTAGAATATAACATCATGTGAGGATAAAGATTCGAACTTCGGATATTTTATTTAGAGATAAATATCTTAATTAATTGAACCGTTCAACTTGGCAAAAACTTAATGGTTTATGGTTAAGAAGTTGGTGAAAAAATGTTTGAGATTTTAATCTTTTCTTTTTGTCTTTGTTTTTAGATTTATTTTCTCCAATCAAGGAGAGGGATGTGGGTCCCTCAATTTAATTATTATGAAGAAAAGAAAGAATGGACAAAAAAGAAAAAAGTTTATGCTTCTTTTTAAATGAAATAATTTTTACAAGGGGCAATTTTTTCAAGCCCTAATTGCTTGTGAAAGCTAAATCAATGGTAAAATGTCCCCAACTTTTCACCATCAAAATATTTTCTTGGTTGAAGAAAAGACCACCAATCATTTCATCAATATTTTTGCATCAATTTTCATAATTTAATCACATAATTAAATAAATTTTCTCACTTGCACTAAAAAATATGCAATTTTCTTGGATCAGATATCTAAGCAAATGGGTTTGATGGGTTAATTCTGGAGAATGGCAAATCTAGAATATAATTTATTTAAAATATTATAAAAAATAATAAAAAAATAAATAACTTATATCTTAACTAGATCAAAACATTATTTACATTTCTAAAGCCGAAATTTCGTATTCTCCCACTTACTTGTTCAATTAAAAATAAAATTTAGAAAAATGAAAAATATAGAAAAAATTTAGAACATCATGTGGAGCAATCAATCATAGCTTTTCTAACTCCGCTAGATCGATCATCTATTTTTGAGAAGATATCAAAATTTCAGCTTCAACATGGTGATCAAAATCCCACCTCTTTTGTAATTACCATATTTGTATCATTTCACTCAGTTGGAGTGCTTTTACATTTTTTTTTAATGTTTCTCACATATCCTTAATTAAAAAAAAACATTCATGAATTAGTAATATGAGGATTTGAACCTCCAACCTTAAGGTAAGTATTAATATCTTGTGAAATCATTTATTTGTGTAAATTAATACAACTATAACATAACAAGATATGGATGGATCGCTGAATCTTTCTTAATTTTGAGTTCAATAGCATGTAGGGTGAGAATTCGAACTTCGAAGTTATATATATATTAATTAGTTGTGTTATACTCTGGTGGACAAAACAAGATTTAGTTTCTAACTACTACACCAATTCTAATATTGTAATGCCATTCATGGTAACAATATTTGAGATGCAAAATTAGCTTGTGAACATAAATGACAATTTTCTCCACTTCAATATAACTAATGTCTTTAATCAACAAGTTAATAATAAAAACTTATGCATGTTGTAGAATAATAGAGTCTATATTTCCAAATTAAACAATAAACTCTACCATTTTTAACCTCTAAGGAAATCAATCATGAGTTCAAATATATAAAGAAAGGGGAAAACTAACTTTTACTTGATTTGGTAATAAGCAAAACCCTAGGTTGTTCTTTTTTTTTTCTTTTTTTACCCCTTTTCTTAAAATTAGGGTTTTACATGAAATGGGATTTTTTTTTCCTAGTTTTGATGTATCAAGTGAAGCAACTCAGCTGGTTTAATTGCCAAAATTTTGCATTTTTAGATCTAACCCTAAAGCAAATGGGGGGAAATTGGATTGGGATTGCCTTCCAAAAAAAAAAAAGGAAAATTGGATTGAGATTTTTCAAAATTTTATTTATTAGAGCAATCAATACTTTTAGGTTACCATATTGTTTTTATAGTTTTATTTAGGGTGGCCTAGCTATTTGAAAAATGTAGGTGTACTAAAAGATTTAATAAACTTCTCATCATTGCTAAGATTAGCAAATTAGCACGCTCATAATTTGATAAACCTAATAACGTATATACTAAATATATAGGTTCGACTGCCACCCTGAACATAGTTCAATCAGTTAAGATACCTATATCTGACTGAAAGATCGTGAGTTCGAACCATATGCTACACTAAAAAATAAAATATAGGCTCGACTACAATATTAAACCTACGAACCTATAAAACCTTTCATGCCAAATTTGATAGCAGTTTCTTTACCTCGACAGTTTTTCAAACCCTACAACATTTGGTTAAGTAGGTGGCCATCATGGGTTTGAATTCATTCTCCTTCAATTAATCCTAGCCCATTTAGACCGATAAATCACCTCATGATGATTAATTTGATAACATTTTCATTTTGAAAAATTATTCTTCAACTCTTTCACAATTTCTTTGGTATATGTTTTAATTTCATATTTCCTAGATATACACTTAAATCTTTAGTCAAATTTTAGAAAGAAAAAAAAAAGTTTTTTAGAACTTTTTTCGAAACTTTGTTTAGATTTTAAAAATTAATAAAAACACACAAAATAGTATTTATAAGCTCGATTTTCAAAAATAAAAATGTTATCACACGAAGATCCTAATTGTGAACATACTCTTTTAATATATAGTTTTATATATGCTGTTACTTAATAGATAACAACCAACGGTCGAAAAGTTGTACGGTATAATTGCTATTGGTTCAATCTTTAGAATATTTGGCTAGAGCGTAAGAACCAGACTCTTTGACGACTCATCTAGGACCACAAGACGAATTTTGGATATTGACATTATCATCCGTGATTCGTCTTGATCATTCAAATTCACTTTCTTTTGTAATTATAGTATATCATCTAGTGCTGAACTTGAGTGGCTTTATATAGCTTTATCTCGTCGTTTGTTTTTTACCTACTTCTCCAATTTCATTAATGAATCTTTATCCACATATATAAACTAAGAATAATTTTGTCAATTAAGTGTAGCTCAAAACTGTCGAGACCACATTGTAACTTTCTTTTAAGTCGAAGGTTTAAAGCTCGGCCTTAATTTTATTCTATTGTTAAAAAAACTAAGAGATTTCTAATTTTCAACATCAAAATAAAAAGCCATGGGTAGTTTTGTAATTACAACACGAAAAGGTTAATGTGCCAAAATTTTCAATTAATTAAAAAAAATTGCAAGTTTCAGGTAAAAAAGAATGGAACTTAACAATTTGGGGTTTTGGAAAAAGAAAAATCTAAACATAAATAGAGAAAGTCAGTCTTAACCTTTGAAAGTTTAAGACCTGAATTTGTTTTTAATGATAGAAAAAAAGGGGAAAAAAAAGGGAGGAATGATGAAAATGAGGGGAAAAAGCAAAGCCAAAGCATTGGTTTCAGTTCAAAAAAAGAGAATTTTGTGAGTGTGAGGAAGCTAGAAAGGTAGGAGAATGAGTTGTTAAGGGACAAATCCACACATATATTAAACTTTAAAGCCTAAAAGAAAAGAAAAATTCTTTTCCCCTTTTTCTTCTTACAAAGAAAAAAATTTAAGTGATAAAAATGAAAAAAAAAAAAAGTAAAAGGTGAAGTAAAAAGGAATCAAGTCACTAAATTTATTTCCCTTTTTTTTTTATTTTCTTTCCCAATCCTCTTTTTATAGTACACTGTGACGACCCAATCTTGTCTTCACCACCATTGAAAATTTGACAATTCATTATTTATTTATTTTTCTAAATTTCTAAAGTATATGTTTTTTCATTTCTTACTATTAGTTGTCAAACCTTTAACGGTGCTCAGGACAAGGTTTCAACATCTAATTGGTCCTCCAAGACCTCCCCTTTTATAACTACGATATTTTTACCATATCACTTAATTGAAGTACTTTCATATAGCTTCCCTTTTTATGTCAGTTCTTCACATACTTCTTAATGAATTATCTAGTATCTTTAAAAGAAAAAAAAACAAGATTGCTCTTTACTATTGAGGAATCAAGTATTTTCCGTCCGTTCTTGTTTCTCACCTTAGTTCCCTACTCCACAAAAAGCAAACCTCTCTCTCTCTCTCTCTCAAGTGTCATTTTCTCACATATACTTCACACAAAAGAAACAACTATTCACTTCATATACCTTGTCATTTCTCTCTCTCTCTCTCTCAAATCTCTGCAACTACTCTCATAAATTTGATCAAACCCCATCTCAAAAGACAACCAGAAATCTCATTCTCTCTCTCTCTCATCTGAATATTGGGTTGAAATTGAAAACCCAATCTTCCAAACTTCCTCTCACTCCCAAAAAATTATTGTAAACCCTCAAATCTTTTCATCATCAGCTGTTGGAGTAGCTACAATCCAAATCCAAGAATATATCTCAAATCTCCAAAAAAATTCAGATACAAAATCAACAAGAAGAAGAAGAAGAAAAAGAAGATGGAATTGTTTCCTTCTCAGCCAGATTTGTCTCTCCAAATTAGCCCTCCAAATAATTCTTCCACCTCCAATGGCGGCTGGAAAAGACTAACCACTCCCTCCTCCACACCTCCTCACCCACAAAACCCTCTTGATTTGGTGTTTTGGACCAATAAGCCTTCTCCTCCACTACTTCCTCAATTTAACTCCTCTAACCCTAATTCCAATTGCCTCCCCCACCTCCGCACTGCCACCGCCGCGAATGGCGGGGGCAGTGGCGGTGGCGGTCTCTTTCACCGCCGTCTTCACGACCTTCACCATCAAGGGCTTGGATTCTTGAGACCCATTAGGGGAATTCCTGTGTATCAGAACCCTCCTTCTTCTTCCTCTCCCTCCTCTTCTTACCCGATATTCGGCGGAGGAGGAGGCGGTGGCGGTGGCGGCGGTGGTCAGTTTAATTATAACGGCTTGCGATCGAGGTTTCTGGCAAGGTTCCCGGCCAAACGAAGCATCCGAGCGCCGAGAATGCGGTGGACGACCACGCTCCATGCTCGCTTTGTTCATGCTGTTGAGCTTTTGGGTGGCCATGAAAGTAAGAAAGCTACAACTCATACACACATCTCTTTCTCACTTTCTCTCCCCCCATCTCTCTGGTTTAGGTTTTTTTTATGGTCGATGGGAATTCCAATTTTCGACCCCAAAAAAATGTTACTAATGTTTTAATGGTTGAAATATCCTCCGATTTAGCTCTATTTTTTCTCAAAAGTTTTTGTAATTTTGATTACTCTCTCTTTGGAGGAGATGAGACTGAGAAAACCCTGATTTTTTTTTCTCCATTGCCCCCTCTCTCTCTCTAAAAAGTTTCCAAATTTTCATTTCTCTCTCTTGCTTAGGGTTGGGGGAGATGAGATTGAAGAAACCCAGATTTTTTTTTTCAAGTTTTTCTCGAGGATTGATGGATGAAAGTAGTAGTGGCAAAAATCTCCATTAAAAAAAAGCTTTTGATTTTCTTTTGCAATTTCACCTTTTTTTTCTCTGTCTTTTTCTGCTCTTCTTTTTCTTTGTTTATTATTGTACTACACAATGTCTTGAACATGTAAAAAAAATTGTTTTGTTTTTCTTTTTTCAAATTTTTTTTTTTTTTTTGGGATTTTCCAAACTTTTACCCTCTTTTTTCTTTGTTCATTGCTCTGACTTCCATCTTTTACCAACAGGTAAAAAAGGGGAGAGAGAGACAGAATTTCCCAAAAGAAAATGATCCTTCTTTCTCCTAAACAATATGAAATTCAACTATTTTATTTCTGAAAAAAATTTAATTCTTTTTTTTTTATGTGTGTTTTTATTAGGAGCAACACCAAAATCAGTTCTTGAGCTTATGGATGTCAAAGATCTCACCTTGGCTCATGTCAAGTCCCATTTACAGGTTTGAATATATTAAATCTCTCTCTAAAAATCATAAAAAAAAACCCTTTTTTTATTAAAAGAAAACCAACAGGGAAACTGAAAAAGTTACAAATCAAGTTAGATTCAAATGTTCTTGGAGTGTTTAATTTTTCTTCAATTAAAAAAAATAGAGTTGTTTTTAAATTGGAAGCAGCTGTGGGTAGGTAGCAGCTGGTAGGATTATAAACAAGTTTTGAATTATTGTACTTTGAAAATTAAAACCTAGAAGCATTTAAATTGAAGGGTTCTTGAGATTTTAATTAATAAAAGTTTTCAAACTTCAAGGGGTTTAAATTTCTTGCAGAGATAAGGGCTCTGGAGCATAATTACTGCCTTCTTTTTATCTTTTTTACCTTTTTTTTTTGGGTGACTTTAGATCTGATATGGGCTTTTTCTGCCATTTTCTGTAACCTAATAATCAGCTTTTTGCTTGGAAGATTGAACCACTCGTGGCTAGAGAGGGAGAATTACAACGGGGAAATTTCCCGTATGGATACTACTCTCAGTTATTGTCTGCTTTGTCGGTATTATTTGAGAATAATGCAGGACTTAGAAGAAAAATTTATAATGTGTATGGAAGGAATAGGTACTATAAGAGTATTAGAAATTTTTGAATTAGAATGGGATTCTCGGATCTCGAGGAGAGAGATAGAGAGGGAATCGGTTTCACTGATCACGAGAGAGGAAAAAATATATTGAAAATGAAGTTCCAAAAAGTACGAAAACACTATCATTTCTCAATGATACATTGTTCAGAAGATATAATTATATATATTTTTGGGTTGAAAAAAAATCTCTTATTGTCTTCATGCAAGTAAAAGTAGTATAGTAAATTCATGTTTTAAATTAACTTCTCCCAAAAAAACAAAAAAAAAAAATTCTCATTTAAAAATTTTCTCTCCCAAGTTAATTAACCACTAAACAGAATGGCTGTTTATAATAATTACTTAATTAATCTCTCTTTTTTGCAGATGTATCGAACTGTAAAAACTACTGATAGAGCAGCTGCTGCAGCTTCTTCTGGTAAAAAAATAACTCTTCCCACCTTCACTAATAACATGATTTTAACTTTATTTCATCCCTATTAATTTTAAAAGTCTTTTTTTTAATTATAAGTCCTTATACTTTTAAGAATTTGCATGATTTGCCCTTTTTTTGTTGGTCTGAATTGAAAAGTTTAAGAGTATGAGTTTAGGTTATGGTTATAAATGCAGGGAATTCAGATGTTTATGATCAAAATGGGTCATCCGGGGATACAACAAATGAAGATTTAACGTACGAAAACGAGAAGTCGTCGAGAATGAGGCTCGATGCTCCAACGACTGATCATGGACCGCAGCTCTCGCCCTCCTTTCACCATGGCTTCCGGCAACCCGTCGTCGGAGGAGGACAAGATCATCATCATCGTTCTCATAGGGACTTTCATGCCCTATGGAGCAATTCTTCGAGGTAAAACACAAGCTCCTTCGATAAATTACTATTAATTTGATGGGCTGGAACAACGTGGCTGACAATTTTTTATCTAACGACCAAGAGGACCAGTCAGAGACAATTTTTTCTTGGAACTTTAGTGCCAAGAGATCTTTCCTTAGTTTCAAAGCAAGTTTTTTCAAAGATTCATATATTCCTATGCTGAATGAAGAACTTATTCCTTTTTATCTGTTTTTTATTTAATTTTTTGTAGCAGAGAAGCTTTGTTCCAAGGCATAACAAATGATTCCTCTGAAAATCAACCCTCTCAGCTTGATCAGGTACTTCCTTTTATATTCTCAACCTTTTTAGGTTCCCAAAAATGAATTTTAGCCTCTCACTTTGATACCCACTTTTGGAACCCTTTGGCTCTATGAAATTTAATCAAATTTTTTTGCAAAAGAGAGATTTTATACCATAAAAATCAAAACTTTTCACAACCCATCTTGTTCATTATCAAAAATAAACAAAATTACCAAAATAATTATCAAACGGGTCCGGTTTTCAAAGCGATTTCTGATGATGTTTTTGGGAGTTGCAAAATGTACTTGAATTTTGCACATTTTTGCAATCTTTTGGAATTTGTACAAAAGCAAAGGCTTTAATTCCTTTTTTTCTTCTTCCTTCATATTTTCAATGATAATAGTACTCAATTATTCCCTGAGTCAAATGTCCTTTGATTCCCAAATGCACAGTTCTTCAAACTTGAAACACACAAAATCTTAGAAATTTTTTTTAATATTCTAATTTTGAAATTTCTCCATTAATATAGAGTTATTTGGAAGCCAAGTGTTCAAGCCATGAAAGAACATCAGATGGAAGCTCTTTGACAAATCTTTCAGCAGGAACAAGCCCAGAAAAACCCAATTTGGAATTCACATTAGGAAGATCAATCTGAGATTTAATTTTTCAAAAAGTGTAAATTTACAAATTTGATGTGAGAAAGAGGAGAAATTAATTGTTTTTTTTTTCCTTGTTTCTCCTGGGTCATAAATTTTGATCAAAATTTTGTTCTGAGAAGGGAAAACCCAGAGGGGGGAAAAAGAGAGTGAAAAACAAAGGGGAAGAAAAGGAAAAGCAAAAGAAGAGAGAGAGAGAGAGAGAAGAAAAGAAAAAGACAAAGGGAGACAAGAAAGACAGAAAGCAACCAAAAGAAGAAAAAGGGTGGGAAAAAGCATGTTTTTTTTCCCATCAAGGGATATAACTAGCTATATTTCTCTCTCTCTCTAAGGTCCAAATCCACAATGTAACTAGAGAGAGAATGTGACTACCCGCTAATAATCGTTGGATATAAGGTAAAGTTAAAAAATCTATCTACCGCCCGCAATAATCGTTTGATAGAGGTTTGAAATAAAATTTTTAAATTCTCTTTATATACATCGAATAGTATAGAATTCATTATTGGTTCAAAATCTATATGCCTTCTAATAACGGTTTGATATAGGTCTAAAATATATCTGCCCTCTAATAATCGTTCGTCTATCTCTAATAACCGTTTGATACATAGGTTTGAAATATTGATAGTAATTTTTCTCCCTTATGCCAAAGTTACCCCTCCAAGGACAATAGGGCACACGAGGAAGAGAGATTAATTGGAAACTCTCTCACAAATGATGCCAAAGTTTTCCAAAAGCTAATTAATAGAGTTAGAGAGAGGGGAAGTCTTTATTTTTGAGAAGATATAACACATAATTCATTCAAAAGTACGTGAGAAACATACCTCAAAAGGAGGTTAAATAAAAGCGCTTCATTCAAAGAGATGGTAGAAATGTCATAATTACAAAAATAGGTCGATTTAGAGAACCGAGACGAAGCAGTCGTTGTTATATCGTCCCACGACAGGGCTGGAGATCTGAAAATGCTTGATAAGGTTAAGAGAGGGATGGAGTTGGCTTTTTTCTCTCAAGTGATGCCAAAGTTTGTTCCAAAGGGGTAGTTGGGTAAAAGAGAGATTGAGGGTCTTTATCAAAATGATTACTTTAGTGATTGCACTTTAAATATGGGAATGGATAAAAGGGCTTAAAATGCCATATTTACTTTTGTGACTTTTTCAAAAAGAATGGTTCTCATTTGTGGTTTTTGAATGCCATTTCACCAACAAAGGGAAGCTTCTCTCAAAGTGGGAACAAAGTAGTTGTCAGTTTTTAATTTCATTTTTTCTCTTCCTTTTAATATAGCTTATTTTTCACCCCTACTCATATTTCATTTTTTCTTCTTCTAGAAGGAAAAGAAAGATCGTTTAATTCCTAAACGCTGACTTCTCGTAAATAATGAGTGTCTTTATTATACGACAACTTTGAGTTAAAATACACCTTAGTAATTGTGAGTACATAATGGAGATGTCTGAGCGAGAGATGAGCTTTTGAATACGTATATGGTGCAAAATCACATGAGAAAGACAAGTGGGTGTGAAAAAAAAATTAGGGCATGTTTGTTCAATTTCAACATAGACTTTGAGTAAAAAAATAACTTAGCTTTAATGAGATTTCTTTTTAGTTAAGTTCTATTGATGTCACTTTTTTTCTTTGTATCTTTAATCATTAGACTAATTTTTCAATTATATGTGACTTTCTTTTGCTGATGAAAGATCAACAACAACAACCCATATGGCTTTTCATGAGAATGAGAGACAAACATACTTCAAAAAGCTATTTATAAGAATTATCATTTTAAAATTCCAATAATATCTTAGGATGGTATTAAGGCCAAAGCATGATCTGCTATCTTCATTAACATGATTTTAAATATCGATGTCGATGGAAATATCGACAGAACTCAATTTTATGGAAATATATATAAAATATTGATGCTTATCCATGAATATATTTGAAAATTTATATAAAAAAAATCTTAACAAATGTTTAAAATAACAAATGAGCATTTCACTCTTCCCCAAATGAGTTAAAAATTATTAACATTAATATTTTATTGTTATTTCTTTTATTTTACCGATTCATTCCTCATTAGACATATAAAAATGTGGACATGTCGATGAAAAATCAATACCAACTTGTCGATTAATGATTATGCGATTTTTAAAAACCTAATAAGGTCTTGTGATATTTATCAATTTTGAAAAAAAGGGAGGGGATAATATTGAATCCTAATTATTTAGTCCAATTATCAATGTGAATTAAGTATTCAATCCAATAATAACATTTTTTTCTTTAGTTTTTTTTTTTAGTTTATAGCTCAAAATAAATTAGGAAAAAAAATGTCAATTGATAAAGGAAAAACTTAGGTAAAAGGTTCCAAAACCATCTTCAATATATAATCTAATACACATCATATTAATTAATATCAAACAAATTATATCCCCTCATATGATTAATTAGAAAAAGAAAAAAAAATACTTCCAAAGTTACATTAAATAAAAAAATCTTCCCTAATAGTCTTAAAATCACATCAAATCTAGCTATTTGTACATATGTCTGTGTTTTTGCACACGTATGTTATATAAATTAATAAATTAATTAAATAGTAACCTCGTCAAATCATCAAATTATATATATATATATATATATATATATTCTAAGTGTCGACATCTCTTATTTTGTCCTAATAAAAATAGTATAATAAGATAAAAAAATATATAGAATAAGAATAATAAGATACAACAATTATATATGATAAGAGGACATATGATAATGAAAACCTCTTAAATTCAAATTTTCCACACTAAAAGCCAGAAATGGATGGATGATTAAACTACATTTATTTAATTATGCCGACAAATATTTTTGGAAGTCCAAATATATTTTTGTCTCTTTGCATACAATAATTTAATTAAATGGGGAGTTAGGTAAATGAAAATTGATTATGTCATCTTTGATAATAATTTTACACAATGACATAATAAAATAATGTAGAAATGTTCTTAAATTTTAGTGGTGAGCTATTTCTAGTTTGTGTTTCTTTATTTTGAAAATTTTAATGCAATTTTTAGTTATATCAAGATTAAATTGTGTAAAATAACATGAAGGGCTTTCTTAGGAATGAAATTAATAAAATAGAAATAATTTGTGATAAATTACTAAATAGTTTGAGCAAAAGTCACTAATTAAATTAATTAATCTTGCCAAACCATGACAATGACTAAACATGCTTCTCATTTATTTCACAAAAAGAAAATTGGACGTTAAGAAAAAAAAAAAGGAAAAAAGAAAAGAAAAGGAAAGGTACATCCAAAAAGTAAGAATTGCAGCTTTACTTTTAATTGTTTTAGTACTGACAAAAGTCTAAGAGAATTTATTTATACAATGAATGAAAATAAAGAAAAAGAAAATTGAGCAAATTTTTTTTTAAAATTAAATTTTTTAAAAACTTGCACGTAAGGTTTGAAAAGTAGTTAAGCATTAAAAGCAAAAAGAAAAAAATAAATGCAAAAAGAAAAAAAGTTTTGCATTTGCTTTAGTTTTCACCTTTTGTAATCTCTTCTTTTTTATAAAGTTAATGTTATAATTTCTTTTTTCCACAAAAAATAAAATTATAGCAATTTGATTAGGATTACAACAGTTGAAAGGTAAAGCCTTTTAACAAGTTGTATAGCCTTTTTTCTTTCTTTTTTTTTTTTGATAAATAGTTGTATAGTCTTGAACTTTGTCTTTACCCTGTTTTTTTTTAATATATTGAAAGAAAAAATCAATAACTTTTTTTCTTTTTTGAATTATGTTTTGACCCAAGTTTTGATTGTTTTTATGTTTCTAAAAGTTTCACTGTATTTTTTAGAAATTGATTAAAGCTTATTAAATGACAAGGAGTAGAAATCCAATCAAAATTATTTGCCCTAGCCATTTTTTCAATTATTTAGCTTCAAGAATTGTAAATTTAATTAATTTCAAAAGAAAAAAAATTGTAAATTTAATTTTTTTTAAAACTACAAGGACTATAACTCAATTAATAGAGCACCTCGTTTATTCTTGCATGAATGTTTTTCTAGAGAATTGTACAACGACGCTTGGTTTTAATTTTAAGAGAAAATTTGTATTTTATCTCAAATTAACCCCGTAATTTTGACAAAAAAATGTAAAAGAAAAAAAACAAAAAGACTAATTAATTAAATGAAAATTAAGTTGGACACAAAATTAAATTGGATTAATGTACAAAATAAACCATTAAATAATTTTATCCAGAACTTTGAAATTTCAGGAAAAAAAACCAGTTCTGATATAGTTCTTGTTTTAATTCTATTAACTTTTTACTATAATATATGATTTATAATAATTTATTTGACCCAACTATTTTCCAATGAAAATTTATTCTAAGGTAAAAGATACAACTCTTTTTAAGTTTTAAGTTATTTAATGTAAAAAACTGATATACCTTGAAAGATATTATTTTATAGAATTTATTTGGCATTCTACGTTTGAATGTCTTGTTGACCCATCTTGTCACATTAAAAACCTGTCGGGAAATTTATTTATTTTTAATCTTAGTTTGGTTTGGACATTTTTGTTCTCTATAAATTTTGACTATGCTCGACTATATGTTTGTCTAGTATTAACAAGATTGAAAATAATTTTCTCATCATTATTCATTTGTCTTCTTCGATTTAAAGTCTTATTATAAGCTCAAAAACATTCATCTCAATTATTTATTTTGTGTCTAAGATAATTCCTAAAAAAAATCAGACCAAAAGAGAAAACCTTTTTAATAATGTCAGCTCAATAAATTCTAGCCCAACTGCAAATTTATTAACTCTAATATTTTGTATTTATGACCCAAATTAAAGGATCTCACAATTTTTTTAAAAAACTTTATCACAATCTATTATTCAACCTGACAATTAAGGGTAAATAATGTAGCAACCGTTTAGTAATATTCTTGTTTTTTGTTTTTATCGTTTTCTATTTTCTAATAAATAAAAACAGAATCGTGTTTGTTTTTTTTTCTTATTATTTTTTTATTGAACAAATTAAGAAACATAAACATGTTCGGTAACCCTACATTGTTTTTCATTCTATAAAATTGTA